TTCCATGGTTTGGCCGTTTGCGGCAGTTATCTCGCGCAAAAATGTGCCCTTTTTGTTTGAAATCCATTCTGGGTGCATTGTCATGTTTCGAGTTGCTCCAGAATCAACATACCAGTCATCCTTGTCAAAATCACCTGACAGAAAACACGCACTGAATGCGACAAATGCGGCGGTCTTCCCTGATTTCGTATTTCCTTTGGAATCATCTCGATCTGGGCATTTATTGGCCTTATGTCCCTTGCGCTTACAATGATAACAAGTGAAATGGTTATTATTTGTCTTACGTGGTCCCTTCTTGCTGAAAAATGCTCCTCCATCGATCGACGACATGTCTCGCTTTTCTTGCAACAATTTGGCTTTGATATCGCTCGATTTCAACGTTCCCGTTATGCTATCCAAAGCCATAACCATTGGTGAGTATTCATCTGGCAAACCGCACAATAAAATTAATGCGATTAAATCATCAGCAATTTTATAACCTAACTCGGCCAGCCCTTGAAATCCCGTTGTGATTGTGTTAACATAGGCTTCCATTGACTCACAATTCTCTAACCGCGTGGCAACACCCCATTTGACCAATCGAAATTTCCTGCCGATTCCGTTGTCCGAAAACGTTTTTGCTAGCGTTTGCCATACACTCAAAGCCGTCTTATCTTCCGCAATGTGAGTGTAAACACTTTTATCCAATGACAAAATCAAAATTGATTTGGCTTTCCTCGTTTTCGATGCATCAGTTTCAGTTCCATCGGCATCAATACATTTTTCCAATCCTTCATGCGCCAAAAAATTCTCCATCGCAAATTTCCATGTTGGATAATTTTCCGTTCCACGTAGTTTTTCGATCGAAGACAAAATTCCAGTGCTCATGATGATTACTTTGATGCAAAACGATGAAAATCACACAATACGAAACGTGACCTAACCACAAAGTAACCGGTTCGTCGTAGTTGTTGTAGACACACAGTCTCGGTAGCGCACACAGCAGCAACTGTTGAAATATACACAATATTTCCAAAATATTTTCCGCACACAGCAGAATTTAATTTAATCGATTTGCACACAGCAAAACTATTCCCGTATTTAAAAAAAACTTTACAGAACTAACACTGGGCCCATAACCTGTTGAAAAGTGTGGTGCTCAGTAAAAATGCGTGTGTTTTGTATGAGAGGTTAAATGGAATAGAAGGAGTTTAATTTGACATAAGCAATAGCTGTCATAATTCGATTAGTACATAAAGTCTGGTTCATATTTTCAACAAAACCAACTGTCATAGACAAAGCTTGGCTAGTTTATCATGGAATTTTGCTTCCAATGTGTAATTCTGTTAGCTTAGCCACGCACCAAACAGTTCGGGCGCGACGATCGCATTGAAAGCATTCGCCGCCGAATGGCTATGACTGCTCCGATTATTGCATATTCGCCGTGCAAACGTTGATTTGATTGAGTTTTCACACAGTTTTGTCCCCGTCGTACAGCAAACATATATTTATATTTGGTTGTTGCATATCGGTGCTGTGGTTCCCCATCATACTTCCGTTAATGAAGACGAAACAATGGTTTGGAAGTTTCTCTCATTCGCTCTCGCTCTCGCTGAGAGCAGATTTGGTTACTTAAAATTTCGCACATCATTATTAGATACTCTTAATTTAACTTGCAAATTGTTCCATACATACATAACAGCTTGAGTCTAACCAATTTTGTGCTCTCCACTCGACGCCACTTAACATTGTGTATTGTGTGTACTGTGCCAAAAATATGCACATGGCAGAAACGAAAATTTAATTCAATTTTCAATAGGAGAATCCAGAGAGATTTGGTATGTAAAGCAGCATGAAAATTTGTTATCAAAGTAATAAAATAACAAGAACGCCACTTGAAAAGAACCGCAGCAACAGACTTAATTGAAACTGAGCCATCCAAATTGTTTTGAAAACAGTTCGCAATACAATCCGTCAATCTATCTGAGTGGACGCTGCTCTCTCCCCTCGGTCGTCCCATATATATATATTATATTTATTATATATTATTATTATTATTATTATTTATTGATTTTATAGTCTACTTTGATAAGCCGACTTGAATTTAGTTTCAGTTTACAATTTACAGTGTATTTGTAGTTAAAATTATAGTTTGATTCAATTTAGTTTAGTTTAATTCGGTACTTGTTAGTTCTAGCTCATTTTAATTTTAGATGTTTCTTAGTTTGTTTAGGTTGCGAAGAGATGTATAGTAGTAATTGAGAATTAAATAAGTAAATAAATGGAAAGTCGGTAGATGAAAAAATAATCGCAAAAAATTACACATTACATATCACAAATTAAGATTAATCAGTAAGAGTTAATCGAGTCAAGAAAAGAAGAAAAAAGAAAAGAGAAAAAAAAATTAAATTTAGATTAAATTTTTAAAATATCAAATTAGATTTGTTTGTTTGTTTAATTGTTGTGCTGGTTTTGTGTCTTATAATAACCAATTTCCATTTCGAAACTTAATATGCTCGCTTCTATAAAAGCACAGCCAATTCAAATTGTATTTGAATGCGTATTTTGTGGCATTTTCAATTTAAATTGTACGACAAAGAATATTTGAAGCACCAAGAATAAGAGCACACACACACACATATACACACGAATTTTTTTGTCAATTTTCCTCAAAATAAAACGGTTTTCAGTTCGGTTTTCAGTTCGGTTGCCTGAAATCATCGTTAATCAACCAAAATAACCTTTGCCATTGGCACTGTCATCATCCTAAAATACAAAATTAAATCAATTGGAACCGTATCCATACAGTGCGATCGAATCCGTATCAACACCCAAACACATTTCATCTGTGCATGTCTGTTTTGCTGTTGTCAGCTCTCTTCCTCCCTTCAATTTTACAAAATGAAAATTGAATGGAATTTGAGTTTTAGCAATTTCGATAGATATTCGGTGCAGTGCAGCTGAATGAGTAAATCCACTGAGTGCATGATAATTTAACATGGAGGAAGGAGGGGGGGAGAGAGAAAAACAACTAAAATGAAACTCAATAGTGGTAGAGTGTTTCGGCACAAAGTGTGTGCTACTAATTAAATATTTCTATGGGGACACATAAAGTTACTAATAGTGAAATTGAAACCAAAACCACAGCCGATTCAAAACTATTTTCATCCTTTTCCGTTTCGGCAGGACCCCCGTGTACACCTCGGCCTGTGTTGTTGTTCACTTGGCCGATCGTCCGACCACCCACCCGCATAAAGATGGCCCGTCTACGTCAGACGTTTACATAATTCATTCGATCCAAAATTGTGAAATACGGCAAAAACAAAATTGGTTTTTCTTTTTCATGTTCCTCTTTTATTCCGGTTATTCATTTAGCGTGTTTTTTTTTGTTGTTGGTTCTTCCTTTTTTTCGTGTTATTGTTATTTTGCTTTGCTTTGTTTTGACTGTTTCATGCAAAAATTTTAATATTTTGTTTGCATTCTGTGTGCCGATGCCGTTGTTTGTTCTGTTATCTTTTACCCTTTTTTCAATCATTAGATAGGCACTCTATGTAGTTTCGTTCAATTGATGTCTGTTCATTGTTTGCATTCACCATTTCGAAAATATCACGTTAGTTGTTCCACCGAACAACAACAACAAAAACGACGGAAAAAATGCAACAACAGCAACGGAAACTAAACAGAGAATTAAAACTACAATATTTACACATTCATTTGGTGGGCTCAAAACCTATCGGTGCTTACGGTTGGCTTGCTCTAATACCATCATAACGTGTTGGAACGTTTAAAACTTCGAAACCATTGTCGGTGTGACGTAGTATCGGAAATAAACTCGATACACAAAATAGCATATTGTCATTCATGCAAAATCGCCTTTTCCATTCTCACTAAATACAGCCGTGCCAAATGACTGAACTTTTATATTATTTGGTCTAAAACTATTAGTTGAACTAAAAATATTTGGCTTTTTTTTTCTGTTTCGTTCGTGCATGTGTTTGTGAAACCATTTGTAAAAAATGTGGCATTCGATAATACGATTTTATTGTGAATTGAAAATGGAATGTGTGCGGGAAAAATGAGCTTTGTTTCGCAAATGACTGATAGAAGAAGTTTGCAGTTGTCAAAATACCGCGAGAGAAGAGACAAAGAATGAAAGCTTCGCTGAGAATTAAGCCCAGCGAATGAGTTTTCGTTCAAAGTGAAGTTTTCTAAGCGAAAAAAAGGGTCGTAGATGGTCCAACACATTTTGTACGCTGTATACCATCAACCATCCGGAAATATTGGCACGCACACAACATTTTAAATAATCCGCCAAAAATTCGCTGAAAGAGGACATGGGAAAAACTATTGCAAAAATATCAGCAGCACAACAACAACAGCAAAAACTTCCCCAAAACGCTCGTTATGGCTTTTTTGTGTGCGGTCTATTTTCATATCCATCTATTGATGTATGTGTTTACCTATAATTCAGAGCAAGGCTCGAACAACACCGAGCGAAAAACTTTGATGCAACAACACGAAATGGACGTTACAGAACATGTAATCCGGAGCACGAAAAGGATTGCAGTTCCATTTAGAATACTAGTGAAGAAAAACTAATAAAAAAAACACACACATATACACATACACATACACACAATGTGTGTTTAGAAAATTGTGGAAAAAATGGGGAAAAAAAGAGAGAGATAGAGATCGAGAGAAAGAACAGCCTTTGGAATTTCTGAGCCGAGCCGAGGCAAGCGGCAAGTTTTTGCTAGTTTGAAAAATTTACATGCTAAAAACGCCAATAACCATTCTCATAAATTCAACGCGTACTCTTCGCCCCCATCATGAGCAGAAACACGAGCCAAAGGTCGATGGTAGAGAGTAGAAAGGTAAAGGCATAATGAAATTCCAAACCAGAAAACAACAAGCAGCCGCTAAAAACAGTGGACGAGAGGAGATAGGAGCAAAAAATAAAAATAAAACGGGGTGAACACTAGCACGAGGGAGACGAAACAATCAGGAGCGATCTAACTTACCGTTATGGGAACATCGTGTGAAGTATCGCATGTGTCCAATTTCCGTTTAAATCGCATTACCGTGTGAGTTGCATTCTCGTAGCCTAGCAGTAATACATAATCCTGTGACGGATCAACAAATGGTTCGCTATCGCCATTCCTTTTTATGTGCCGATCCTGTGGAAAGAGAAAAGATGGAAACGGTCAATTGATGAATGAAAAAAAAGAACACATACATTGCACACACATAAAATCAACAAAACTAATAAATTGGCACATCGTCTATTGCCTTGGCGTTGGCCTTTGTGGCACAAACACACTCGAGATTGGGGTTATTGATATAATTGCGATGAAATTAACGCGATTTAATAAGTTTTCAGCACGAAATTCATTGAAAAGCCAAAACGATCGATAAAATGTCTCGGCGCTTGTCAAATGCATCATAGCATTTGCAAGCCCATTTATTGATGGATATGAGTTGGGGGTAAGTGTGAAAATTACTATTCCTCTCTCTCTCTCTCTCTCTCTCTCTCTCTCTCTCTCTCTCTCTCTC